CGTGTTCGATACACAGCACGAGCCGGCCTAGCTGAACCGGGCAGTGTAGCCGATACCCCCACCGTACCAGAACACGGCGCCTCGGGTGATAACCTGACTTGCTCCATCCGATCGTCAGCCCAAGTCACATGTTCATGAGCTATCGCCCAACGAACTCCGGCCGTACCGCCCCCCGTCCCCTCGCCGACACCCCCCGACAGGTTGGAAAATTGTAGGCTTGCGTTGTCTCTCGTTTGCGCCCTCTTCCTGCCCATGTCTAGTAACCGAGAAGCAGTCGTCCAAAAAAGCCAGAGCCCACGCGCGCCAGCCATCCTCAAGTATAATCGGCGGTGGTGGCATCAAGAGATGCCAAGAAAAAGGCCGGCCGAAAGAGAACGCGCGCTTGGCTCGCGTGCCCCGCTATTTTCCTGCCCTTCCCCCCCCGGGGGCCTTGAAGACCCTGACGGGGTTGGCCCCCATGCCGCCTCCCGTCGACGCTCTCGTGAAATGAGGCCCCGCTCCCCCGCTGCCGTGGCCGATGGACTTTATCTGCATGCCCTGGGACGGCTGCTGCTTCTTCTTCTGCTGCTGCTGCTGCTGCTGCCGCTCTGCGTTCATCTCTTCTCGCGCCTCCCTCTTCGCTCGGTCCACGACCTGGTGCTTGTCCTTCTGGAGCTGCTGCATCGCCATTCTCCCTCTGCAAATCTTTTCGTTCGGGGAGGAAGATACGCGCGGAGTGTGGTTGGATGCAAAAATTGAGTCTAATAAATCCCACGAGTCAAAGCCTGTTGGCACGGACGAAACGCAACCGAAGACTCGCCTTTGGGGGTGCAAGGACCGACGGCTATGTGCGTGCTAGGTGCTAGGGTACGGGACCGTAAACACCAACAACAGAAGCAAGAGATGCCAATTTAACATGCGGAGAGCATAACCAAACAAGACAACCGACGAGACAGCGCTCTCCAGCCGGATACACACAAAAAAAACGAAAACGGCCAGGCGTCTTCGGGCGGGGCGGCACCGCGAGGTGTTGCCAGACGACACCGCTTGGCCAGATCGTTGTTTGTTTTGCCTCTGTCGGGTGCTTGAGCTGGGAGGGCAGCGGCGTTTGTGGCTGCTCGCGCTGCTTTCCTGTCTATCAAAAACCTGCCGATTAATTGTCTATGAATAGCGATTCCCCGGTACACGCTCGATTATAGTAGTGTTGGGGACGGGACGGAGGAGGGTGGCGCTGCTGTATCGTGTACGTAGTCCATACGACCAAAGGAATGATTGAGGGCATGCATGCAGCGGTGGACGCACGATCGCTCTTTGAGGTCGAGCGCAAGCCATGGTTTCAAGACTGAAACGCATTACGTCGAACAATCTACGCGGGTTGTTGTGTTGTCGGCGGGGGGGGGGTAACTTGAACGAGTACCACATACAACCGGTTTTGTCAGAGAAATGCCGGCCGCCTTCTGCCTACCGATAAACAAACAAAAACAAAAACAAAAAAAACACCCCACGCGCGCCTAAGAGCCCCGTACATGCGAACAAAAAAGAAAAACCTAAATGAAACTACCGAGACCCAGGAACCGACCGACCACGATGCAACAAGGAGACGTAGGTATCACAGCAGTCGGGCGCAACTACACACGGCGGACTTCCCCTTGCTGGCAACGGGTACATATGGTCACACGCGCGGTGTTATCTGTGTCCTAGGACGCGTTTCCCAGGAGCCAAGAGAGAGAGAGAAAGAAAGACGAGCCCGGAAGAGACGGTTCTTTCGCGCAGCGACCATGGGTGCCTGCCGGCCAGCGCGTGCGACGCACTAAAACATCCGCGGCAGCGTGCATGATACCACACCGCCGCACCTTGCCTCCCAGATTGATGATTTGCCGGTCCCTCGTGCGCACTCCCAGAGCCGCATCGCTCAGCGCCTTGTCGTTCATCTGCAGCTGCCTCTCGTTTTCCTCCTTCTGCGCCTGGATCTCCTTATTTCTCCTGGCGAAATCAAGCTCTTGTGCCTGTGTGTTTTTTTCGTTCGCCGCCGGAGACACCACACGAACGCGAAAAAAAAAAAAGGCGCGGACATAAAAAAAGGTAAGAGAGAGAGCGAGTGGCAGGCGGTGAGGCCCGATAGTAACAGCGACGGTATTGTGTGTTCGTTTTGTGCTGCTAACCCACCCCGGTCGTTTCCGCTCCACGCCTAGGCCTGCGGCAGCCAAACAACCAGCGCCGCCGTCGCAAAGAGCAAGCTTCTCCTCTCGGCTACCAAAGGAAACAGCGTGGTGGACAATACAGAAACAAATCACAATCCATTCTGCGGTACCCCACCTACCAACGGCTCTTTCGGAACGTACCGCCATCGCTAAAACGGAACGTACCGCTATCGCTAAAACGGAACGTACCGCTATCGCTAAAACGGAACGTACCTTGAGTCTGGCGTCCCCGTCCTCCTTGATCTCTTTGAGGAGGGCTAGCTCGGATTTCAAGCGCTTGACTCGCTCCAGCAGAACTTTCTTGCTAAGTGATGCGCCGTTAGGGACGTTGAACTGAGGCCAAAGAAGAAACGAAGAGGGCGACAGCGGCCGAAAGACAGCGGGGTATCGCAGAGAAAGGGGCGGTGTGGGGACATCGCGTCGAACTCTTCCCAAGATCGGGCAGACTCGTGCACGGCTGTACTAAAACGCTTACGCTCGAGAATACGAAGAAGCGCTGGCAGACCCACCGCGCCGTCCACCAACGCTATTAAGGTTGCGGTGGTCGAGAACCAACTTTTTCCTCGGCGTGCGCAACAGCAGTACAGCAGTAGCCTACAAACCGGTCGCGCACGGCAGCCGCAAAACACCACCGACGAAATAAGTCGCGCTCCCTCTCCGCGTGTGTTCATGCTCATAGCTCCCGACGACTACGGCTGTGTCCACATTTCGCGCACGCTACACACTTGTGTAGTCAACAGACACGCCAGATGCCGCCGCAGTGTCACATTCTCGGCAGCCCGACTCACGTTGCCATATTCGTCTGGGAACATGCGTTGGGGATCAGTACTCGACATGGGTCCTCCCAGCGCTGGCACACCGCGGTAGTGTGCGTCACGCATGCCTCCGCAATACCCTCGAAGATGAGCGTGCGCGTGCCGGTGTGTGGTCGGGTCGGCGAATCAACAACCACGCTCCTGCTCCACACCGAGAAAAACGGGAAAGAAAATGGGAAACCCGTATTAGCGACGAAGCAGCTAAATAGCACTACCTCGCAATGATGTGGTCATAAACCAATCGGGAAGGGTGTAAAGGGAAGGGAGGTTGATGAGAAGCTACTGCTGGAGCTGTGGCCATCACGAGTACAAACGAGCGAGTTGTGGGTGCTGCTCTCCGCTATGCTAGAGCCAGGACATTTATTGTATGCTATGCTACTCCGGAGTAAGGCAAGTGCTGTGGTGCTGTTGTGCACTCCGGCTGAAAGGCGGCGTGTTCTCGGATCAGTTTTTTTGGTTCTTGAACACGCGGGGGGGCAACACCGCCGTTGCTGCACCCTTCTCGCAGTAGAATTGAAGGCGTGTTTCGTAGAGGATCTCTTCTGTGTGTCCCTGGACCGTACCTGCTAAGGAGAGAAGCCAAAGCTTGTACGGTGATTGGTGCAGGCAAACGAATGTAGATGCATCCCGAATCTCCACTTTGAACACACCACACACGCACCGGCTTGGCTCTTCATTTTTAGCCTCTTTGTCAAGGGTAGACCAAGACCGACCTAGTGTACTGCGGCTGTCCCTAACGAAGCTTGGGCAAAGCGCGGATGAGATGTTTCACAATGCAGCTTGTTTGCATCCGCTGCCTGCAGCAGGAATGCATCTATCTCAAGTTCAGTTTACCAAAAAAGTGAGACATGAGTGACTCTTTTTTCACGTCAGAGGATCCGCTGTCAGGAAGAACAGCAGTACAATACAGCAGTAGTCTACCCGTGGGAGCTTCAACCAATTCGTTCAAACTGACCATGTCACCTCGAACAGCACTCACAAGCTGGTTGGCGGCCTTGATGATGTATGCAGCAGAGGTTCCGGCGGCAAACGTGTCAGGGTGTGGAATCGGAATCAACAAGAGCTGTGGTAGGAGAGCGGACGGAGATGCCTTGGGGGGGGCGGTGATTGGGGGTGACGTGAGCGGCCGGGGTGACGTGAACGGCAAAACGGAAGGAGGTATTCCACCAGGAAAAAAAAAAATGCTCGCGGGCGCGCAGGGGCCGAGGAAGGCAGCAAATACATGCAAGCCACAGGCAGAAGCAGGCTTGGTTGTGCGCGCGGATAGGAAAAGCAACACGCGGATAGTTGACGGGTCTTCCTACTTCGCCTGGCTCACAATTAAATTATCATTGAATCCCTCTCTTGACATCCAGGAACGGAGTATCTATTATTAAAAATAAAGACGAACACACAGAAAGACTACCCGTTCGAGATATAACCACAGCAGGAGTTATTGTTCCCCGCACAAATTCTGGGAAATTTTCGCACCCCCGGCGAGAGCGGTGCTCGCGAATGTCGTTGATACTGGTGCCATAAAACAAGCGGTGGCTTGCGGGGTTGCGTCTAGAACGCATGGTTGGTGTGACGTTCAAATTCAGCGATATATATGTGCGTGTGGTCATATTTTCATATTTTCGAATACAACCAAAGAAGGTCGCGCTTATACTGTATGCATGGGAGGGCGACAATATATATTGTCGAATAACAGTTCGTACCAAGGACTAAGTCATCAGCGATCTCCACATATGATTCCACCAATGACCGCCCGACTGCAGTCAGAAAGACATCTTGGCCATCATGGACATCAAAAATTCACTCGCTTTGCTGCCGGACAACGCAGGCTCCGCCGTACGTACACAGACTTTTGCACTCATCCCCCCCCCCCGCCCCCCCTCGACTCTGTCGCTTCTGCCTCCCATCAACGGCCTGCCAACGGTGCTTCAAAGTACGTCGTGCCAGCCTTGCACATAACAACGTCGACCGGAAGACAAACCTCCCACGGAACATCGTCGCTGCTACTACTGCTGCTGTCTTCCTCATCGTCACTACTGCTGCTGCCATCCTCTTGGGTGCCTTCGCCACCTCCTGCTCTGTGGCGGCGGGCTTCCCTGGCAACTACTCCCGGTGGCGAAGCACGTGGTCGTGCTTTTCCCGGCGAGGAGGAAGAGGAAGAAGGGACGCGAGAGGAGGAGGAGGAGGAGGAGGAGGAGCTGACGTACGTGCTGACGTCCCCTAGCACCGAAGCTACGCTCACGTGTACGATGGGCTCCTGTCCGTGCGCACGGGTGAACGAAAGGGGGTGCCGGACGGGAGTGAGGACTCCCTTGGAGGAACACGCCGGCCACGACTCTTAGAAGCGGGTTCTAATCTATGGACTAATCGATGTCGTCTTCTTCTGAAGCATTCCGTCAAGACTGCCGAACGTTGTCTCGGTAGGCGCCCGTTTTGCGCGGAAGGCAAGGCAACGCACGTTATACGCAAAGCACGTCGCAGTTTGTCTGCTCTGTCTGCCTCTCTTACACTTCAGACGATGCTGCGTGGAAGGTCAGTGGGTGGACAAAAAGGGCGGCAAAAGTTGGCAGGTGCATAGAGAGAGCGAGAGAGGTGGTCCGGTCCCCCTCGTGCATGATAATCACCTCGTAGTACTCTGACTGCTTGAACCTTCGCATCAAGGGGTCCACCTTCGCGATGAGGCTGAGAACCATCTGTCGCCCCCCCCTGACCCTGAGACACACGAAGGAGCGCGTTTTGTCTTCGTTGACCAGCACGTCGTAGCCGGAGACGAAGGAAGCGGTGAAACTGAGCCGAAACGCGCATTAACGAAACGGACAAAAAAAAAAAACGGAAAACAAGACGGATGGATCCGTTTGGCGACAAGTTTCACGGGAGAAGGATCGGGGTTTGCTTCGGAATTCGACTTCCCGACGAGCAAAGCACTGTTCGAAAATTGAATAAATGGATGTGTACGCGTCATAAACTCCTGGCATGGAGACGAACGCGTCGTCTGACCGAGAATTGAAGAGAGTGATACGGACGTGTCATACAGTCCCTGGTTTGTGGTAGATTTCGGAACTCGAGTTCCCGACGAGAAAAACACTGTTCAAGTGTCAATCAACCCCCTGGCATGGGGCATTGGATGTGTTCTCTGACCTCTCTCGACAGCGCCCGTGCGAAGAAACAGAGGTAGAAGGACACCTCAAGCTCACCCGTGGGAACACATCCCGTAAACAGCTTGACATCAAAAAGAGTCGGTGCCAAATGACTGTGGGTGCCTCACCTGCGAGACGATTTGACGGCTTCCTTGAGCCCCCGCACGAACGGGTTTATCTGGTGGGCTCGAAGAGCGGTCGTTTTGGAGAGACTGAGGTGCTGTCGTCCGGAGGGATCCATGTCATTCATTACTACCTCCGGAGGATCAAGTTTCCCAGCCGATGAAGCGCTCGCCTATATGCATAGATATGACGAAAAGAGTTGCATATTCAGAAAAACGTTGTCGACAGAAACGGCGTCAGACATGGGTTCCACTTATCGTAAGGTGTTGCGTGCGCTCCTCTCTGTAGGACAACCCATCCTTACTAAACTACCTCCTGCACGCTCTGGCAAAAACAGCAGCTAAAAGCACAATATTTGCGTTACGCGCCACGCAGCCGGAAACATCGCGACGTTCAGTATGAACACTTTCGTCGGCCTCCAGAAACAATCAGCAGCTTCTTTGGAAGAACGGAGGTGCAGGAAAAGCGTCTTGCCGACGACGCGACACACAAAACCTAATCTGGTGCTGCTGCTGCTGCTGCTTACTTGGTTGGAACGCTGCCGGCCATCCCTTGTGCGCTTCTTCCCGCCCTTCCCACCTTCAGCACGCCCGTGCCCCTCTCTCCATGCCGTAGCCAGCCTTTGCCGGAAGTGCGAGACGCTCGCCTCCGCCATGCTCTTGAAAGCTGCGGAGTTGGGAACTGTATTGTGGCGGGCCGAGGAGGGGGGGGCGCTTGGTCACGCGGGGGGTGCACGCAGCATGCAGCAATGCCGCCGGGTTTGAGCAACGTTTGGAGCGAAATCTGGAGGTTGTTCGCGGTAAGGTAAAGCCCTGTGCTTTTTGACGATGGCTACAGTAACAGTGTCGCACCCGGAGCCAAAACGAACGCCACACACACACACACACACACACACACACACACCTGGAATGAAGACGTGCGTCGGCCAGTTCCCTCTCTCGTGGGGAAACCTTCGAACCCATCGGATGTTCCCTGCCCGCTCCTCTGCCCTCCGCCGCTCGGTCGCGAGGTCGTACTCTGTGGCAGCACGTAACGAATCATGTCGTGAGGCTGTGCGTTTATACCCGACCGTCCGATAGCGTACCGAAAGTATGGTCTAGTGTTGAGTTGCTGTTGTCCAGAATGCGAAAGGTACACGTAGTCGAGTGTATAATTACTGTTGTCCAGGATGACAGAGATACTCTTGAATAGAAACACACGCGGCGGCGTGGGCCTGGTCCTCAAAGTGCATGTGGCCAATACAGAAGATGGGGGCTTCTTTGGCCAAGACAGAATTGCTGGGGGAGAGAGCCTGGAGACTTGGGAGAATAAGCACGCAGCAACGGTCGTGGTAGTTTCTGTATGCCGGAGGGCTTCCTGCTGCGGTAGATCTTATGTGTGATAAGTATGCATGCAGAGGGGGGTAGGCATTAATGGTGCATAAGATGGGCCCGCAGTTGAGAAAAAATCTCAGTCTCGGCCACAACAGAAGAACCGTCCCAATAAGAAGCATGATCGTGCGATACCCCAAGACATCTAAAGAAGGGGTAGAAGCTGGGAGAGCGCGTCCTAAGAAACACCCCTGCTGCTGCTGCTGCTGCTGCCGTGCTCCCACCCCTTACCTAGCTCAGCCATGATGTAATTTATTGGTGGGGCGGAGAGTCGTTATTTTCGCGGCGCCCCCCGCGCCCCAGCGCCGCCGCGGGCTGCGCTACCCACTGCTGGTGTACTGTACTTCTACAAACCCCAATGTTCGCCACATCCAGCTGTCGGTTTAATGCTGCAGAAGGCTTTTGGTGTGTTGTTGTTTTCCTCGCCGTCAGAAATAAGAAAATAGGAGAATCAGCAGGATGGGACAGCCCAAAGTATTTCGACGTTTCTTATCTCCGGGCACTATCTGTAGACCTAGAGCATTCGCTCGTTGTATGCATACATTATGGCATATACTTGTACATCCTGAAGTAACAAATACGTCAAGGATAAAGGAAAATTCTGCTACATCAAGGTGGGTAGCAAGGAAAGTCCACAGCGAAAACAATAAGGCGGTACAGCAGTACATGTACAAAAGCTGCTCCAGCACTTGACACAGGCGTAAGTTACGAGAATGGATGATGGTGTGATTCTGAGAGTCTCACCGCTGTCCTTGAAAATGGTGAGCAGCTCCGATGGCAGTCCGCCCAAGACCGAAGGGTTGGGGTCTTTTTCTTCGATTTTTTCGTCTTCAGAGCTACTACTAGCGTATGCCTCCAGGAGGTGATCCATTGCCGTTGCTGGTGTGTCCTCAAAATGCTTGTGGATTGTGGACGTCTGCCATCGGAGATCTGGGAGATCGGAGAAGGGGGCGCGCGATTGGGACTACATGTTGCATGGGGGGATGCTGATCCCAGCGGTTGCTTTGATGGTCCGCATCCGCGGGTGCCTCGCCTGGTTCAAACACAACAGCGACAAAACTGAGAACACCACGCACAGCGCGCACGGACACCTCCTGCCGTCCAAGCAGGTGAGATCAACCTGTTCATAGCCGACACTTCGACATAGGTACAGAGATACGTGCGCATTGGGCGTGTGTGTTGGTGTGGTGTATGGATCAATTCTGATCTCCACAGCAGCGAAAGTGGACCCGCTCTCCTTCTTTCTGTCCACCTACATACACCGGCGGTTGGTCACTTTACCAACGCCGACCACAGGCACATCGGTCAGGCCGGGGGGTGTTGTTTGAGGTGCCGAGATTTTCCCATGCTGTCACCCCGGCGAGGGTGTTTGTCTGCTATTCGATTGAAGCTGCGCGTTCACGCCAAGTAACAATGGCAGGGTGTTGATGATGCGCATGAACTTGAAGAAAAAAACAGCTCTCTTCAATTGCTGCTGGCCACTCTGTTTCGTGACATTGGAATAGATGACCCCAGCCTTAAAAGCGAGGCACCCGGCGTCTGTTAGGCGGCAATGGCGATGCGTAGTGGGTGCTAGCTCGGGCAGGCGTATAGGACAAAGCAGATGTAGCTGCCTTCTTTTTCGACACGAGAAAGAATTCCACTTGGTGGTTGATCAACCCCTCAACTTATCATATGCCAACGTGCCACCACCGATGGTTTGATTTTTGTGAGAATTGGAATTCCTCGCGCTCTGCCTTCTTTCCCCGCCAACTTACGCGTAACCCCGACCCGCCCCGTTGATGCTTGCGCATACCGCATGCTCCTTCCCATGAAAAGTCACCCACCCAGTTGGTCGTGTACCTACAGCAGCTGAGATGTCACAAGTTGTCGCGGCGTCTTTTTTCTCTGGAAAGCACGCCAACAAACAGCTGGACGCCCTCGTCGGGCGGCGTCTGTGTTTCCCCTTTTGTTTCATTTTTTTTTGGTTGAGGCAGGCAGGCAGCTGGTCTTACATATCGACGAGTGGGGTTTTTAGGGGAGGGCTGCTGCTGCTGCTGCTGCTGCTGTTCGCGCATGTGTACTATTAATAATCGGACAGAAACCGCAGACAGCATTAGTTGCTGTTCATTATCACGGTGTAATCTTGATCTTTGACAAGAGCGTGTGAAATCCATGGTATGTACGACAGATTCACAGCAATGTTGCCCCTTCATTTCCTGCTCATTCGGCACTGGGCCTGAGGTATCTTGAAACCGTTTTAGATCTCTTGCGCATTGCTCATACATCCTTCGAAGGCAACATGCGTTTTTCCGTGGCCACAAGCTATGCATACAGCAGTACTTCATAAAGTGTACTGCTGTAGACGTCTAGACCAGCGAAAACGGTACAGACGGCGGGAAAAGTACATCATCCGATGTCTCTGCGCAAAGCGCAAGTTTTTTTTGTCCGCCATTGCACAGGCTTCCCAACTTTTTTAATGTCCCGCCGAGCACACACACACGGCCTCCATAATAGAGGCATTTTGTTTATACTCCCCCCGGTGGTCTAGTTGGTATCCTCGAAACCTTCTAGGGTTCAGGTCAGGGTTCGAATCCCGGCGTGAGCGAGCTTTTCTTGCAAAGTGAGTTTTTCTCTCGCTTCCGCTCCTGGCCTAGTGGATAGCGCTAGTTCGTGAGTACACAAAGGGGAGAGAGTGCTGAACTCTTCTCGCATAAATCAAAGGCAACGTACCGCAGGAGGGGAGGGCAAGAGGGGCTCTTCCGTGTGACCACGGGTTGGAGCAAACGGCACTAGTGCTGTGAGCGCTGATTTGAAGTGAAGACGAAAAAAAAAAAAAAACGCACTGAGACTGACGTCTTTTCGTTGGTCAGCCGGTTAGCGCGGTCGCGATGCTAACAATAAAACGCACAAACACGCACACACACGCAGGCGTGCCATCGGGCGTTCCAACCATGTCGGACACCAGCGACTCCTCCGGGATGCGCAAGAAGAAAAGCTTCTCCTCCCGCTTCTCCAGCAAGATGGATAAGCTTTCGAACCCCTTCAAGCGGGGGGACCACTCGGACTCGGACAGCGACGACGACGACGGCAGCGGAGGCGGCAAGGGCAAGTCGCTCTTCGGGGGCAAGCTGCACAACCCTTTCAAGAAGGGTCACGGCTCCGACAGCGAGGACGAGAGCAGCAGCAGCAGGTCCCCGGCCAAGGACCGCCGCAAGGCTAGCGAGGAGGCGACCACGCCCAAGCCGAGCGGCGGCGTCGTACCCCACGTGCCCAGCCTGTTCGCGAAGTCCCCCAAGAAACACGAGGGCCCCACCGAGGAGGACAAGCCGGCGGCGCAGCCAGTGGTCCCGCAGCCTGCGCGGGTCCCAGAGTCGGAGCCTCCCGCAGCGGCAGCAGCAGCAGCAGCAGCAGTCGCGCCGGCTCTCCCGCCTCGGACTCCCGCGGAGGCGCCGAGGGCGGCGGCGGCTGCACCGGCCGCCAAGCCGGCGGCGGAAGCCCCCGCGGGCGCCACTGACGCTGCCCTCTCCCCACAGTCGACAGACGGTGGTGATGCTGCTGCTGCTGCTGCTGCTGCTGCTGCTCCTGAGCCTCAGAAGCCGAGAGTGACGGTCGGAGGGCCGGTGTTCGGTGCTCCGGACATCCTGCTGACGGGGGTCAAGGGGGAGCCGGACGCGGCGATGAGGACCCTCAGGCAGAGGGGCTTCGTCATCCACCTGGTGAGAGACGGGGAGAGAAAGATTTCTATACGCAGGTTGAGAGCGAGAGGGAGGGAGGGAGGGAGGGAGGGAGAGAGTGAGTCTGTCCGACCTTAGTTTGGATGGTGCTGTTTTGATCATTGCAAACGACAGCGTTTCAAGAGAGCGTGTGGCGAGACGAAGTGGCGAGGGGTGTTTTCCCCTACAGCTCATTTTTTTATTGGTCTGTCATCCGATTCCTTGTGTCGTGTCGTCGGTTTGCAGGTTCTATTTGCTGGCGCCACAGAGCTCCGACCTTGTCGCCCTCTCTCACCTAGCGCATGCAGACACCAACTCCCGTGTACCTCGTTTACTCCGGATGGAGCATGCCAGTGGATTATCGATGTCTTGCAACACCTGTTTGATAACCGTCGTTTTTTCATCACCGCGAACCAAACATGAAAAATGGTATATACCATTACCTCACCCTTAAAATACATTTTTTTGGCCGGCCGTCCCGGGGGGCGCCATCGAGCATTTAGCGCCGCCGCCGTACACCCTCGGTGTCCAACTGAATTGTCCTTTTCCTTTCCACCCTCGTCGAACACAAACATCATTCCGTTTGATTTGTGGCTGGTGCGGTGCAATCGGTCCCTCTTCTCCCTTCTTCAGTCGGGCCCCTTGCACATTTTTTTGTTTCTTTGCACTTGTCGTGGCCGCCGCCGCCTATGCCGGGGGCTCTTTTTTGTCTGTTTTTTGTTTTTTGGTCAGTCCATGCTGCACGAGGAACAAGTGCCGCCGGCGATGACGATGGTGCTGGCCATGGGCCCCAAGCTGCTGGTCAAGTCTGCCGTCGAGAGGAACCTGGCGACCAAGGCCAGGCAGGAGTACACGTCCGGCGAGGTGGCCCAGCTCTGCGCCGACGCCGTGCACGTCATCAAGCGCTCCGGCCTGGAGTACGAAGAGGCGAGTCGGGTTGCGGTGGTGGAGCGTTGTCACACGCGTACTCGGGGAGCAGTGGGGCTAGATGGAGGCGGAGGGATGGCAACCCCCGCCTAGTAGGAAGGAACGATTGTCCATCGGTGATCGATCCTGTGGGAACAATGCTCCGTTCTCTCGAGGACGCGTGGTCAATGGCCTAACCGCTAAGGCATGCAAAACATAATAGTACGCCCCCCCCCCCTCCCCCCATAGCGAAGTTGATTGGGAAGGGTAAAGCTCAGATAGGCAAGATGGACGAGATCCTTACGGACCCACACCTAGACACTAGGATTAAGAGGTGTATTCTCTTGAATGTGATTGTACCTAAGCTAGAGTATGCAGGAGAGGTATGGGAAGGTAACGAAAAGGCCGTCAAGCAGCTGGAAACGGTGCAGATGGCAGCGGCCAAGAAAATATTAGGATGTTCAAGTACAACGAGCAACACTGTATTGAGAGCAGAATTGGGAATGTACTCTCTTAAAACAAAGAGAGACATGCAGAAGTTGAATTGGCAGTACAAGGTAAGTAGAATGTCGGACGATAGACTACCAGCCATGGTTGACAACGCAGCTTGGGGAAAAGCGACTCCAGGAAAGAAGGGAATCAGATGGGACAAGGTGGTAGAGAAGGTTTGGAAGGAGATAGGAGACGAGGAGGAGACGTTGGACACGGAAGGGTTCGGGGGGTTCAAGACGAAAGTCAAGGAGATGCTAGAGAGTAGGGAGGAGGCAACCCTTCGGAAGAAGGTACGAAGCGAAGACCACTTAGAGATATACGGGAAGTTGAAAGAAGGGATAGGGATGAAGACGTACTTGGACGGCCCCATGGACTATGCGAAAAAGCTGAAATTGCAATTTCGAGTAGGCGATCTGGACTTGCCAGAACGGAGGAAGAGGTATACCAGCCGTAGGAGAGAGGAAGAGGAGGATAGACACACATGTCCATGTGGCAAATCGGAGGAGAGTAGACCCCACATAGTTGGGGAGTGTGAGTTGTACAGGAAGGAAAGAGAGGATCTCGAGGAGGAAATGAGACAGAGAGGGTGTGACATGGACAAGTTTGGTAAATTAGACAACAGCGAAAAAACGATCGCGATAATTGGGGATAGATGGTGGGCACAAGAGGCCCTAGAGGACGGGAATAAGATGTGCAAGGAATTTTTATGGAGTTTGTGGCAGAAACGTAAAGAGCTCCCAAATGTTGGTGGTGTCTCTAGTAGGTGTAGGAACGGTGCTCCGTCTCGAAAGGGACGCGTGGTCAATGGTCAAATGACTACGGCAAGCAACAAATGAGTACGCTCCCCTCCCCCCCTCCCCCCTAGGCCGATTTTCAAAGTTCGATTGCTCAACAAGCGAGGTTGTGCCCAAACGGTGGTTTTGGAAACTTGTTGTCGAAGGCTTTCCGTAGACGGTATCGGGCTCGCGCCGCACCCACTTGGTTGTGGAGCATTCAACGTTTGAAAATCGGTCTGGGGGGAGTGCCAAATCTCTCCGCCTCTTGTGGTAGGCAGCCCTCGGTGGCTTGGCGTGGGCGATGGCCGCCACCATAACTTGTCTCTTTTTGTTCTTTCGTTGCTTGCGGAGAGCTATCATAGGGACGGGTAGGCAGCGCTCAAGTTTTCGGAGCAGTGTTTGTCACTGCCTGTATATCATCTCGGTGCCAGGCCATCTGGAGGATGTGCCCTTGCATGTTGTTCTTGTACTAGATTTGTACACGCAGCGGTACTCGAGTGGAAGCATGGTGACTGGACGTGCATTCTTCTGCGTCGTTCAGCGGGGTTAAGTCTCTACACGCAAGTGATGCCTGGCGCTCTCGCACGGCCTTCTTTTGTTCGTGGTGCGGCGGGTAAGCCTGTCTGTACCCACACATGGTGGTGCCTGGCGCTCGCTCTCGACCCCGACTGCGCCTCCCACGAGCTCTCACGTACCTACCGATGTACAAACCCGTCATGTGATCTCGGCCCCGCAGGCGAACCTTCTGCACGACAAGGATGCGCTAGAGGGCGTCGCGAAGGCCGATAACAAGGACGTCCCTGACGCCGTCAACTCGTACTTCGGCCCTTACATCGGGATCTATTTCGCGTGGCTGCGGTTCTACACCAAGTGAGTGGCGTCGCCGTTAGGTAGAGGGTCGCGGCATGTTTACTTGGGACGGTTACGATCCCGTTTCGTTTCTTTGATGGGTAGATGAGATCGGATCGCAAGCGGAGCAAGGAGCCCGGCGATCGCAAAGGTGTCAGCGTGTGAAGTCGTACGCGGTAGTCGGCCTTGGTGTCTTGCTTGACCCTCAGCTGAGTGTGGAGCTTACTTGGCATTATACTTGTACTTGTACACCGCATCAATTTTCTATACCGCGGGCTTTGTACGGGGCTGGTTTTGTGTTTTATTTCGTGCCTGTCCCTCCCGCATCGACCGCAACCTCTGGAACCACCCCGACCTCCTCCCTTGTCTGCGGTGCCCCAGGGCCCTGCTGATCCCCACCGTGGGAGGCGTGTTCCTGTTCGTGGACCAGATGCGGACCGGCTCGCCGGACAGCCCGCTCCTGCCGATCTTCTGCATCCTCATCATGGTGTGGGTGGCCCTGTTCCTCGACGTCTGGAGGCGGCGCAACAATGAGATTGCCTTCCGGTGGGGGGTGGACGGGGTGGAGGACGAGGAGCTCATGCGGGTCCAGGCCGCTAAGGTGGGAGAGCTGCTGCGTCGCGTCGGCGCCGGCGGCGGTGCCTTGGAGCGTCTTATGTGAATTGGTGGACTTGTCGGGGGGGTGGAGGCGTACTCGTGTTTTGCATGCCCTAGCGGTTAGACGTTGACCGCGAGTCCTCGAGAGGACGGAGCATTGTTCCCACAGGACCGTGGGGGGGCTTAGATGTGTACAACGTGATGATAAGACCAGTGTGAAGCAAGGAGGCGTTTTGTGTTTTGTGTGCGCGCCTCTTGGGCCCACAGTTCTACAAGGTACTGCAGGATCGTCCGTCCGAATATTCACATGCACACATCGCAGCACACGGACTTAAGAGCTACAGGAACCCCCCGTGCCGGGTGTTTTTTGTCGCAGTGCAGGGCGGCGATAGATTACCCGGCTAGCTCTCTCATTGAGTTCTTCTTGCGGAAACAATCCAGGAAGAAGGAGGCTAGGGAAGAGTAACGCGCGCCCGCGTGGGGTTTTCACGTGCCTGGCGCGTCGCTGCGTTGTACTGTTTCGGTAGGCGTTTTTTTTGTGGTCATGTGCCTTTCCTTACGACTGCTGCTGCTGCGTTTTGCTGTGCGTGCGACTCTCTGGGTGAGACAGAAGGGGAACTTCAAGCCCAGCCCGGCCGGCAAGCTTTGCGTCACCGTGCCCATCATTCTGGCTGTCATGTACGCCGTCATCCGCGCCATGCTCTACTGCATCTGGCTGAGCGACCACGCCGTCGAGGTGGGAGTGCCGAGCGCCTACTCAACGGTGTTTGTTGGGATATATCACCTTTGGTAGCGTGTGTGGAAAAGCAGACACAGAGCGATGAAGGACGCGTGATTTTGAGTTGTGGTCAAAACGACACGTTTCCCGATCTCCCACATATAATTGTGCCTTGCCAAAGGAGCACTTGCGATTGTTGGGTGTGGCGGTAAAGGGTCTCGCGGAGATGTGGACTTGGGGGTCTCGACGCCGTTGTGTTACATGCGACTGGACCGAGCACGTATTGGGCGTGTTGACACTGCTTTGTTCGATGCCGTTGGCTGAGCGTTTGCTGAAGTTGCCCAGGTCAGTTTGATGGGCCCCTGTTGAGCACATAGCCGGTAACCCGTATCACTCGCAAGGTTGTACGTACAAGATAAGCTCGACGGGCGTGTCTCGCGAGGGGACTAAGCGCCCAAGCGTCGTTCCCCACGACATGCGCAAGCCCACATAAACAACGGCCACAGAAGTCGCTCGCTTGACCGCTACAGCGTAGCCGCCATTCGCTCGCCCGGTGACCCGTCTCCTGCCTTGCTTTAGACGTTGTTGACCGTGCGTGTGATGATGGTGGTCCGCGTCTCGTCGCCTCCGGCCGCCGCTGCTTCGCTTGTGTGACCTGCGTCCTCCGGCAGGTGTACGGGGAAGAGTCGTACCTTCAGTACTACCCCCTGGTTCTGTACAGCATCGTGCCCGTGGTGGCGTCGACCCTCTACACCTTCCTCGCCAAGGCGCTCAACAACTTCGAGGAGCACCCTACGCTCGTCAGGAAGAAGAACGCCTTCGTCATCAAGGTGTCGCTTTTTTTTTTGTGTCTTTCTCTGCGTGAATGAATCTCGTTCACAGAAAGCGCCGCCCCTTTTGAGTCGACACTTGCACCAAAGATCGTAAGACACGTTTTTTTTCTATTATGTTTACCTCGTGGTGCATGGAGCATGAAACGGCCTGTTCTCTTATTTCTTATTCCTTCCGTCGTCGCCTTTTTTTTGTCTGAACTTGGTCGCCCTGGTCTCGTTTTTTTTTTTTCTCCCCCCCCCCCCCCCTTTTTTTCGATAGATGTTCGTCTTCCAGTTCGTCAACTCGTACTGCAGTCTCCTGTACGTTGGCTTCTGGCTCAGGGACCTCAAGCGGTTGCGGCAGCTGCTCATGACCATGATGATGGTCAAGCAGTTCATCGGCCAGCTCGTGGAGAAGTACCAGCCGGTCGTCGCGCTCTGGATGAAGAACCGCAACCTTAAGAAGAACGTGAGCAGTTTTTTCCCCCTCCCTGCCGGACCCGCCTACACTCGCGAAAAAGTTCCTTGTTCCTGTTCCTCAGTGACTTTTGCGCGAAGGTCTTGGTCGGGATTTTCGCGCACATGTCGTCTTTGTGTGTGTGTGTTTTGAAGTGTTGACGTATAAGTAGGTCTTCCTCTCTGTGATGGTGCTCTGTGTGTGTGTTTCGTTTGTTTTTTCTCGTCCGGTTGGTTTAACCGATGGCACAAGGTGTGATGGTTTCGTGCACGCTGTGAGTGTTTTGGCGGAGTAGCGACCTATATAGCGACTCCTGATTTCGGCACAATGCTTGCCTCGCGAGCCGCCGCTCTTAACGCCACGATCTCGCGCGCTTTTGAAGACTAGGACGGTTCGCTGCTGCAGTGCTCTCTGGTCTTTTCGAGTAGGCTTCCGTGTGGACCGCGAGCGCCCTCATATTGTATTGTCTCACCAAAACTGAAGTTCACCAAAACTGAAGTTAAAAATCAATACAACAACACAACACACACACACGAAATATCGTTTACGACGCCGATCGATCTCCCCCCGGTTTATTGCGCCTCGGCGCCAGCCTCCTAAGGATCCCGTGATGCTGGTGAAACACACCGGAACAATCAGTCCGGAGGAACTGTTCGAGGAGACGAAGACGGAGATGGCTGATGTGGAGGAAGACTACCTGGAAATGGTGTGTGTTTTGCTTCAGTTCCTTTCCTTTCTTTTTTCTTGTTTGTGGTGATGCCACAATCCGTCGTCGATTCCCAAGCACAGGTCTGTTTCGTCCTAGTGTGCGCTTTTTGCAACAAGTCTCCTGCCCCCCAAAGCTTCGCCCCCCCCTCTCTCCTGTGCGGCCCGGTCCGCAACACTTGGTACAGCAGTAGCATCAAGAAACGTCCGGAATATTAGTCGTGTTTGTCACGAGTGGCCGGCGGCGACTGCGGCGGAGGCGTCTCTGGCCCATTGATCTGTCTGTCTGCCTGTCTTGTCTCTTGGTGCAGAGTCGAACACTGCTGTGCGTCCCAAAGATGAGACCGATGCCTTTGGTTTGTTCTTGTAAACGGTATTTTATTTTTATGTCCTCGTTGTGCGAGGGAACCGCCGTCCTCAAAAGGCCAGCCCAACAAGCCTGCAACTGCTGCGTACATGCGGCAATGTTTTACCCTATAAAAAACAAGATTTTTCGGACTCTCTATGTTTGTTTTTATTTTTCTTGGTCGCTCGGCCTCTCGGCCTCTCTTTCTCATATCGTGACCCTAACCCTTAGTATCGATCTGGTGATGCTTTGCTTGGCGGACCGGAAAATTACAACAGGTGCTGCAGTTCGGGTACGTATCCATGTTCGCTGTGGTCTTCCCGCTGGCCCCCTTGTTCGCCTACATCAACAACATCTGGGAGTTCAAGCTCGATCTCAGCCAGCTCGTGAAGACGAGACGTCCCAAGGTGAGCGAGAGGGGGACTATGGTTGCGTCGTGGTGGTTGCATCAGAAGTAGGCCAGCAGGGCAACCGAACCTCTGGACCGACCGTGTTTCTGGTCTGTTTTCCTCTTTTGCCCCTACATCGTCCCATGAGACGCTGCGAGGAAGATGGAACGGATGAACGAGCTGACCTGAATGGAAGTAGTCCATACCTTCTCCGCGCAAGGCATCACGGGCCCGCACGTAGAGAAGAGCCGCCAAAATTGTGGATGGATGTAGTTTTTCTACACGGAGAGCAGGAACGGCGGGCCACCCTCCCTCGCGAAGGAACTGCCAGGTCAACCGTACAGTAGTAAGTGGGTTTCGCAAACAATGCTCCGTCCTCTCGAGACAACGGTCTAACATGCCAAGGCATGCGAAACGCCTCCTCGACCCCCAGACGCACGCCGAGTCCTCCATCGGGGCCTGGCAGCTGTGCCTGGAGATGATCGGAGTCGTGGCGTGCCTGACGAACCTGCTGCTGGCGGTGCTGGTGTCGAAGAACGTGGACATGTACGTCCCCTCGTCCATGGCTGAGCAGCTTGGCAGCTTCGAAGCAAAGGTGACACTTAGGCTTGAGACACGACGATGGTGGTGGTAGCGTATTTGCCTTTTCACTGTACGGTTTATTGCCCATGTCAAAGCCGGGGGCGGCCACTCTCTACTTTTATGTTCTGCTTTTCTGCAACCGTCCGCGCGGAAGTATGCGAGCGGTATACTGTATGAGTGTTGCCGTGTGGTACGGGTTACCGTTTTTGTTGGCGTGGTTGTTGTCACGCCCCTGCCGTTCCTCGTGCAACTGCGACGTCACAACCCGCTGTAGTTGCCGGAGTTATTTCAACGGGCCGATCGACCGATCGCTAGTCATCGTTCTTCTCCGCCCGATGTCCTGTTTCCAAGGTCGTTCTGGTGGTGGTGGGAGAGCACGTGCTGTTCCTGCTCAAGGCGGTATCCTCGGGTCTGATAGACAAGGTGCCCCGGGTGGTCCGGGAGGCGCAGCTGGTGATGGCCGTCCAGCAGAGGGAGGAGCGCAAGGAGTTCCGCCGGCGCGCTAGCGGGCTTCCGGTACGACGACTGCTGATGATGCTGCTGCTGCTGCTGCTGTGCTCGCTGGTTTTTTTTCGATGTCCTCCCCACAACCGGAAAAATGTAACATGTGACATGGCGCCTCAGATTGGTTAGTCAGATTATTACCTGTTGGAGATGTACCGTGGGGGTGTTGTTGCCACAGATTAGGAAAGCCAGGGGACACCCTTATCCCGGCGTACAAGACCAGCTCACAGAGCAGTGTTTATACCCGCGTGCCGTATCCGCTGAACCGCATATCGCATGGTGCTGCACACCACCGGTGCACCTACCTCATGGCTGATTGTTTTCTCGGTGCTGCTGTTCGTGCACACACACGCGCGGCGCGGTAACGTGCGTTCGTTCGTCCCACCAGGAGTCCGAGCGATCGGCGCCTGGCTTTCCGCTGGCGCCATCCACCCCGGCCGACAGGCTCAAGGAGCTCAACGCGACGCACGACGTGTGGAAGTTCGGGCCGAAGTGGTACATGCCGCTCGCTTTCCTGCCGTTCATCGCCGCCTGGTGAGAGAGATGTTGAGGGACAACGCCCGAACGCGCTCGCGTTTTGTTTTTTTCCGTGGAAGATGATGGTACCTAGCAAGAGTTGTTCCAGAACAGCGCCGAGCACGCTCGTGCTCGTGGTGTTTTTTTCCATGGGAGATTATGGTAGCAAGGGGCGGGTGTGGGTGTGTTTTTATTTTTAGCGTGGACCACGTTTACCGGCTGACCAATGAAATGACGTCAGTCTCAGTGCGGTTGAAAGCGCAAAGTGCTGGAGGGCATGTGTGTGTGGGTTTTTGGTAGGTCGGCGATTGTTCTCATCTCCATCAAAGACCATCTGCCGGAGTGGTCTATCGGGTGGCGTTCAGGTCGTCATGTATTCGTACTCGTGGGTTCGAATCCCACGGTGGTCATTATCTTTTTTTCCTCGTTTTGTTCTTTCCCTCTGGTGTTTCACAGTTTTGTTTTTCTCCTACTTAAGGTGGACCTCCTACTCTAGGTAGACACCACTAATTCGAGAGAAAAACGTCAGCACGCGACAACGAAGGCTATTAGTCGTGTCGAGGCAACCCTCTCGAGACAGAGCAGTACCTTTCTTTCCCTCGTATGGGCGTGAAACACGGATCGATAACATCCCGCCTGATAGAAATTCCCTAAATAGTGTAGTGTTCGATGTTGGATGACACTATAATAATACATTCATCAATAGGCCCTTGTTTGGCACACGGACGGTGTCATCCTGTCCCTGGACTGGCTGGCTGTGTATTTCTTTTTCTTTTTCTTTTTCTACAAAATCTCGCAACTGTTTTGTTTTTTTCCAAACCTTTGCGGCCCCAATCCGAACAAAACGCTGCTCGGGGCATTGCCGCCGCCTCCGCTGTTCGTTGTCTCAGGTTCAAGTGGAGCGCCCTCTGGGTGCTACCCATCGCGTTCGTGTTCGTGAGCTACCTGCAGCACCAGAAGGACCTGTCGGACAAGGCCTTGGCCCTTGGCGTGGTGAAGGACCCCAAGGTCGGTCAGCGGAGCAGCCGGTAGCCACGAATCAGTTTTTGTTTGTTGGCGATTTCTTGTGTCGTGTGTGAGCTTGTGATAGTTTCAGGAGCTTGTTTTCTCGTGTGCGCCAATATGATACCTCGCAGCTTTGAGTATATGATAGTTCGAGTCTTGTGTTTTTTTGTGTGCACCAATAGAATTCTGTCGCTGCTTGTACAGCGGTAGTTAGGACTTACAGACAACAAATATTTGGTCGTGATCATCGGGCGCGTGAGTCAGTCGACGGTTCGATAGCTCTTTGTCGTCTCTGAGTTGACCCGTTACTCTTTGGCATTTCGTAAGCGTTTGTCCGAAGGCACTACTTGTAGAGCGGTTGGTGAAACAACTGAATTGCTGCATCGACCGACAAAGAAGCAACAACAATGCACGTTGCGGCCGGCTAGGGCCAAGAGCAGTAGCCTTCTCTGCAAGCGGAGCCCTCTCTCTCTGCATGCATCCACACGCTTCGCCGGTTAGGGTCCACGGCAGTTGTAGCCTTTCCGCACAGGCGAGACCTGTCTCTGCATGCACCCACCACACGCTTCGCCTCAAGCGTGCGACGTGCTTTTAGGCTTGCCGCGACAACATGCCATGGTCTCCATTAAGAAATTTTGTTTCTTCTCTCCTCCCGAAATGCCTATTTACTTCATTTACCACACCCGCCACGAGGTAGACTTTGACTTGCTGCCGCGCGCTTGAATGTGCATGCTGCAGGTATTGGAGATGGTGACCGGGTTCTTGCCTCCTTGGTACACCGATTCGGAGGTGGAGCGGGTGGACTGGCTGAACAAGATGCTCGACAAGGTGTGGGTTTCGGGAGACGTGAAAGGATGTGCGGCATAGACAAGTCAGTCAGCAGGAGGTTTGCGATTGTTGCCTGCTGATGCTGCTGCTGTTATTGCCACCGAGTGGGCGGTGGACCTGGCCAAATGATGAAGCTGTGACGATCGACGGACCTCACCGCCGACGCTCTCGCCTTTGCAACGGCGTAAACTATGCATGTACCCTAGGTAACGTCCTGCCTGCCGTCCCCCCGTCGTCTGGTCGTCCCGTTTGCTCCGCCCTTGCCTCATTGCCCTAACCCTCTGCTGCCTGCGGTCGCGTTTATTCGCTCTCTCTTGGCGGCGGTCTGTTGGCGTGGACAGATGTGGGTGTCGGCGTCTGCGGCCACCCAGGACTTGTTCGCGACGACGATCCAGCCTATCCTGGACAGCTACCGCCCGCCGGGGATCAGCGCCCTCGGCTTCAAGAAGGTCTCGCTCGGCACCATCCCGCCCAAGGTGCGGGTTATGCTGGTGTTCGTTGTCGTGGTGTGTCTGGGGGCGGAGCCTGCTGCCTGTACACTCGCGCGTATCACTCGTTGTTGCTGTGGTGGTGGTGATGGTGGCACCGCTGCGTGAGGCTGCTGCGCCGTGTGTTGGGGTTCGTGGGGCGCTCTCCAATCACACGCGCGACACACAAACCACAAAACAGCAGGCCATCGTGCAACACAGCAGCAGCAGCATGGACCAAGAGCAGACGTAGATCGTTCCGTCTCCGGCGTTGTCTGCTGCGGTAATACCCCGGCATCCCTAACTGGCATGTCAATTCTCGTGCTCCGGACTCTAGCCCGCCGCTTAGCTACTACAGCAGTATCCCCCACCACTTTGGCTGCCCACACTTGGTTTAATCTTTTTCTCAAAACTTGATTTTCTTTTTTCCTCGTCCGAGGTAGATCCTGCCCAAAGCTTCGATAGTATGCTACCACGAAGCACGCCTTGCAATGGTGGTACAACCGCCCTCGCCTGATCTTTTACCTGTGTGTTGTTTCCGTTCGGCGTGGGGGGGGGCACACTTTTTTGCTTTTTTTTTGGGGGGGGGGGGGGGGGTTTTAGGGCCCCGGCATCCCCCCTTTGGAAAAAAAGGAAAAAAAGGCCGGGATCCAAATCCACCCCCCTTGGGCCGGGAACCCGGAATTTATGCGGGAGGCCGGGGTCAAGCCCGTCCCCCTCCCCATCCCCCTCAAAAAAATTTGCTTCCCCGGGAGGAAGAGGGGGGAGCTCGCCCCTCTCGGGCCGGTCTTCCCCTGGTTCGGGGCAGGGGGGGGGGGGGGGGGGGGGGTATTTTATTGGTAGGATCCACCCCCCTAAAAGGGTTTTGACCAATGAAAAAACTTTGCGTTTGAAAAAAAAAAGTTCTTTTTTAGGCCATGATCTGGGACCCCGGGAGGTTGGGGGGTTTTTTTTTTGCCCTCGGGCGCCCCAACGGCCTGACCAATGAAAAAACGTCAGTATTCTGGGGGGAAAAAAAAACCCCCGCCCACTCTACTCCCTGGTCAGGTGGGGGGGTTTTTTTTAACCTCGAATACGGGGACCGGCTGAACAATGCAAGTTT